CCCCCCCCCGTGTGCAGAAAGACAGGAGCGGCGCAGTGATTGGTCATAGCGTAAGACGGAAGGACGCGCGTACGTCCTCGAGCGACCAATCGCGGAGCTCCGCTGGGGGAGGCGGGGACGACGGGAGCGGGCGCGGCTTTCGGATTGGCTGTTCCGGCCGCGGGGTGGGGTGTGGGCTGTGGTGGGTGAGCGAGCGGCGGCGGTCCTTCGCGCGTGCGGGCGCGGCCCTTTCCCTCTCCTCGCCTTCTGCCCGCGCTCCACGGGTGAGGGGCCTCGCAGGCAGCGCCTGGGAGCCTTCGGGGCCTACCTTGCGGGGTGGTTGTTGTGGCAGGGGCTTGGGCGGCATGATCAGGGATAGAAGGGGCCTAGGGTTGCCAGCCTCCAGGTGGGGCCTGGAGAGACTGGCCTCCAGCTGACAGAGTTCAGCTCCCCTGGAGGAAAAGGCTGGTTTGAAGGGGGGGCCCTTCCCCAAACCCCGCCCTCTCCCGGATCCACCCCCCCCCCAAAGTTTCCAGGTATTTTCCAACCCAGACCTGGCAACCCTACTGGGGCTGACTCTCTCGGGCGGGAGGCCGCCGGGAGGACGGGGGGTCTGTTTGCCTGGGATGGGAAATGCCTGGATATTTTTTTGGGGGGGGGTAGGGGTCTGGGGAGGGTTGGGACCTCAGCAGGGTAGAATGCTACAGAGTCCATTCTCCAAAGTGGCCATTTTCTCCCTGGGGAACTGGTCTCTGCCGCCTGGAGACCAACTATCATAGTGGGAGATCTCCAGGTGTCACCTGGAGCTTGGCAACCCTAATGGGGTGGGAGGCGGTGGGGCTTGGTCTCCCTGGCAATGGGCTTCCTGCTCCTCCTCATCCTCACGGCTTTCTTTTTCTTCCTCCGCCTCCTCCAGTTAGGCCCTCCCCTGCGCCGCCTGGTCCTGAACGGTGGTCGCCATGGCGGTCCCTGAGTCCCGGCCGAACCATACCATCTACATCAACAATCTCAACGAGAAGATCAAGAAGGATGGTGAGGGAGTCTGGCCTCGAGGGGGAGCCGCTGGCCGGCCCTGGGGTCTGGGGGCTTCTCCAAGTGTGTGTGTGTGTTTGCGGGGGGTGCTTTCTGCCCGCAAGGGCAGGACGGGGTGGGGGTGGCGGGGTGTTGCCACCCTAAACGTTAATGCCAGTAGCTCACTATGTGACTCTCCCCTCTCTGCAATTTTGGGGCTCAGGGAAGTTACCAGCATAACTCGAAAGTGATTCGCATGACTTCTCGTCCATCTTTCTCACGGACCGGGATTGGAGGTGGAGAGCACAGTGTATCAGTTCTGTAGGATGGAACGGCTAACAGGCAACACTGCAGCTCTGGAACAAAGAGGACTTGAAGCACCTTTGAGACCCACAAAGTTTAATTCTGGTATCTGAAGAGGTGCCCGTGCACAGAAAAGCTTATACCCAGAATTGAACTTTGTTGGTCTCAAAGGTGCCCAACTGGACTCAGATCCTTCTGTTGCTACAAGTACTTGAGTATGACCCATGAAGCAACCCAACAATTGCCCAGGAGGAGCATCTTTACAACAGGTCTTACTTGGCCTTCTGTCCACTTTTCTGATCGCTATGCCAGAGTGCCAGTATGTTAAATTGCTATATAAAGTATTTGTATATTTTAACTTTTGAGTTACACTGGTAATTTCCCTGAGCCCCAAAATTGCGGAGATAGAGGAGTGTCACATAATCCACAGTTCCTGCCCCTTTACCTAAAACATAATTTTTTGAACCGTTTCATTATAAGTTCTCCCGACTAACTCACTTTTGCAAAGGCTTTTTTAAATGCTGTATTTCTGTTTTTCAAGACAAGGAATGATAAAGGGGGAAATGGGGGGCTCAAAATCTAGCAACTAATTTTTAAAAAGGGGGGGAACCATATAAAGTAGAAACAAAAGTAGAACAACGGTGGTGGGGGAACGACATATAAGTTTCTGTTAAAAAAATTTAAATATCTAAAAATGAGTCTGTGTAATTGTGTAACATTGATGCATCCCAATATTGTTAAAGTTGTAAAGTCTTCAAGCCTTAGATTTACAGGAAGTGGATGTTTATCTCTCGAGTTCTGCATAGTTTGCGGAAAGCCAAGAGGCCTTATCAGGCCGGCCATTGCATAAAGCACTGCTCAGATGAACGGTGAGCAGCCCTTGACGAAGTTCCAAGCAGCAAATGTGTTGCTGATGTTCTCAGAGCAAAGCGCTCCTATGACTGTTGCCTTTCCTTCCTCTCCAGAGCTGAAGAAGTCCCTCTACGCCATTTTCTCCCAGTTTGGCCAGATCCTTGACATCCTGGTCTCCCGCAGTCTGAAGATGCGGGGCCAGGCCTTCGTCATCTTCAAAGAGATCAGCAGTGCCACCAACGCCTTGAGGTCGATGCAGGGCTTCCCCTTCTACGACAAGCCCATGGTGAGGCTGCTTTGGGCTGAAAAGGGCTGGTCTGAGGGTGTACTGCCAGAGAGGTTAACAGAGAGCCAGTTTGGTGTCGCGGTTAAGTGCGCGGACTCTAATCTGGAAGAACCGGGTTTGATTCCCCACTCCTCCACTTGCAGCTGCTGGTGTGACCTTGGGCCAGTTACAAGTTCTTCTCAGAGCTGTTCTTTCAAGAGCAGTCCTTGAAAGAGCTCTCTCAACCCCACTTACCTCACAGGCAGTGTTCCCTCTAAGCTGAGTTAGTGTGAGCTAGCTCACAGTTTTTTAGCCTCTGGCTCACACATTTTTGTCTTAGCTCAGGAAGGGATGGCTCCAGAGCAACTAGTTTATGCAGCGGCCGAATCGCTCGCTCACAACTTTAATGCCAGCAGCTCACAAAGCAGAATTTTTGCTCACGAGACTCCACAGTTTAGAGGGAGCATTGCTCACAGGGTGTCTGTTGTGTGTAGAGGAAGGGAAGGAGGTTGTAAGCTGCTCTGAGACTTGCGAGTGAAGGGCTGGGTATAAATCCAGTCTCTTTTTCTCTTCTTCTTCATGTTCACAGTGGAGATAGTGCTTAGACTCGTTACAAGCAGTGATTGTGTGTTCAGACATGCGAAATTGTGTGTAGAGATTGTTTCCAGAAAAGTGCCTTAAGAACATCAGAAGAGCCCTGCTAGATCAGAACAATAGTCCATCTAGTCTAGCGTCTTGTCTCCCACAGTGGTCAGCCAGTTCCTCTGGAGGGCCAACAACAGAGCAGAGAGGCCGAGGCCTTTCCCTGATGTTGCTTCCTGCCTTTGGGATTCAGAGGTTTAGTGCCCCTGAATGTGTAGGTTCCCCTCAGTCACCATAGCCTTATCCTCTAGGAATCCATCTAAATCTTTTAAACTGTTTATTCTTGTGGCCATCACCAATGTTCCCTCTAAGCTGTGGAGTCTTGTGAGCAAAAATTCTGCTTTGTGAGCCACTGGCATTAAAGTTCTGAGCGAGCGATTTGGCTGCTGCATAAATTACTTTGCTCTGGAGCTATCCTCCCTGAGCTAAGACAAAAATGTGTGAGCTAGAGGCTAAAAAACTGTGAGCTAGCCCACACTAACTCAGCTTAGAGGGAACACTGGTCATCACTACATTGGTGCTTGGAGATCCTTCTTCCCACGATAACGGTCAATTTTCTTTGCTCATTTGGGTGCCTGATGACAAAGGCTGCCGTTTCTGACCAAACAACCGCACTGGTTTCCCCAATGGCGCAGGATTCCTTGTCAGCTACAGAGCATCCCCTTTGCAAGGGTTAGCTCACTCCTTTCAGGACTCACTGCAAACCTGTACTTGGGCATTCTCCAGAGGCGGTCCCTTGGTACGCTGGATGGGGACTTGCCGACTGACTCCAAACCTTAGCTTCAGCGAATGCTTTCTAGATTGCGGCCAGACAACTAGATTAGTGTTTCTGTGGTTCGTCTCCGGGTGGGATTGTGGCCGCTCGCTGTGGTGCTGTGACGGGCGCAGTCACCTTCCCGTCTAACCGAGCTCTTCCTCCCCCCCCCGACCAGAGGATCCAGTATGCCAAATCGGACTCGGACATCATAGCCAAGATGAAGGGCACTTTTGTGGAGCGGGACCGCAAGCGCGAGAAGCGGAAGCCCAAGGGCCAGGAGGTCGCCGCCGTCAAGAAGCAGCTCCCGGGGGCAGGGGCCCCCGTGGCCCCCGCGGTCCAAGGCGCTGTGCCCGTGAGTGTCCCCCAGCGCAGCCTTGCAGGCCGGCTCTCTGCCGGAGGGAAGCAGCACACAGTCGGGGGGGAGGGGAGGCAGCTCTCCCTTCCCAGCGCAGTGTCTGTTGCAGCAGCTCAAGGCCTGCAGGTTCCTGTTCCAGCGGTTGGTGAATTAGGCCTCTGCCGCTCAAAGACAGGAAGCCCCCGATCGGCTTCTGCAAGAGGCTTCTTCTGCCCCTGAGGGTGGCGGGGGCTGCGTTTGGAGGTCGGCCCCCTCCCTTGCAGCGGGGGATGGGAGTCTTCCTGGACGCTTGGGGAGGGAAGCCGCGTCTGAGCTTGGGGCTCCGCCATTCAGCCCTCTTTTCCTTCCTCTCCAGGGGATGCCGCCCATGAACCAGGCCCCGCGGATGATGCCGCACATGCCTGGCCAGCCCCCTTACATGCCTCCCCCTGGCATGATGCCACCCCCTGGCATGGCACCAGGGGCTATTCCTCCGGGGGCGATGCCCCCTCAGCAGATGCTGCCTGGGCAGATGGCCCCAGCACAGCAGGTGAGTGTGGGGGGGGGCGTTGCAGGGAGGGAGGGGGGTCTTTCCGTGGGTTGGCAGGAGGGAAGGGCGCCCGGAAGGCCTGGGCGAGTTCATGCAGTCCCCAGGATTTCCGGACAAGCGGCACTCTCTCTCACTCTCTCTGTCCCTTCTAGCTGTCGGAGAACCCACCCAACCACATCTTGTTCCTCACCAACCTGCCCGAAGAGACCAACGAGCTGATGTTATCCATGCTGTTCAATCAGTAAGTGTCCAGCGGAGGTGCTCCTCTGTGGGGAAGGAGGGTGACGTGAGGTGAGGGCTGGCCGGGGAGGGCCGGCCTGCCTGCCTTCCTCCCTTGGCTGTAGCTGCAGATGCAGGACTTGGGGGCGGGGTGGTGGAGGAGAGGATCTGCCCGCTTGGGAGGCCGTGGGTTAAGGTCCCTCCACCCAACGGCACGTCCTCCTCCTTGTTTCAGAGCCGTGGGGTTTGCACTGGTCTCTCTCCCTGGGGTCTCTGTGATGGAGACCCTGCCCTGTTCACCCTGGCTCCATAACGATCCCTTCCGCTTTGTGTCTTTCTGTGTTTTTATGCTGCCCTCCCAAAAGTCTGTCTTCAGGGATGGGGGGAGAACCTGTTGAATGTCCTTCGGCCGGCTGATACGGGGCGGGGCTCCACGTGGAAGGGATCCTGGGGGGCTCACGGGGCTGCTAGCCCGAACCGTTGGGGAACTTCCTGTCTCGCCTCCCTGCAGGTTCCCCGGCTTCAAGGAGGTGCGGCTGGTCCCCGGGCGGCACGACATCGCCTTCGTGGAGTTTGACAACGAGGTGCAGGCCGGAGCCGCCCGCGATGCCCTGCAGGGCTTCAAGATCACCCAAAACAATGCCATGAAGATCTCCTTTGCCAAGAAGTGACACCTTCCTCGGCTTGGAGGCCGCAGGCGATCCTCCTCCTCCTTTCTCGTTAGCGCCTGCGAAATGGTCTGGGTTTTGTTTCTGTTTGTTTGTTCTTTTGCAAGTTGTGTTCTGGGAGGTAAGTGTGTGCGAGAGGGCAGCTGGCCGGGCAAGAAGGCTTTTCCAAGCAGTGGTGTGGGATGGGCCCGGCTGCTCCTGTTGTGTCTGTGGCTGGGCTGACGGGGAGGCGTGCGTGTGCGCATGTGGGAGTGAGAGAGAGTGCGCATGCGTGCATGGCTGGACGGTAGCGGCCGATTTCTGACAAAAGCATTGTACCCAGAGTCTGACGGCCAGACATAGCACCTGGAGCTTTTCTCTTTTGTAATAAAAGGACACGTTCGTTTGTTTTGTATCTTGGTGGTTGGCTCTTATTGCTGGGAGACCAGTGGGGTGCAGTAGGGTGGGGGTGAGGGAGGTCCCTTGCCAGCCTCTGCAACAAACCAGAAGAGAGAGCCACTGGGCGGGGCTGCGTGTGACGCATTTGGCCCCTTGGGAGGTGGGCGCAGGTGCTCGTCGTGCCCTCGCTTTGTGGCACAGACGCCTTTTCTTTCCAGGCAGGCCAAACGTCCAGCAGAACAGGGTGTCAGACCTGCTGTGAAGAAGAAGAAGAGATTGGAATTGTACCCCATGGCCCTTCACTACCCAAAGGAGTCTCAGAGCGGCTTACAAACTCCTTTCCCTTCCCCTCCCCACAACAGACACCCTGTGAGGTCGGTGGGGCTGAGAGAGCTCTTGACAGAAACTGCTCTTTTTACAAGAACTGCTCTTATCAGAGCTACGGCTTCCCCAAGGTCATCCAGCCGTATGCAAGTGGAGGAGGAGTGGGGGAATGAAACCTGGCTCTCCCAGATTAGAGTCCGCACACTGTGGAGTCCTGTGAGCAGAAACTCTTCATTCATGAGCTGCTGGCATTGAAAGTTGTGAGCCAGCAATTTGGCTACTGCATAGTTTGCTCTGGAGCCCTCCTTCCTGAGCCAAGGCAGAAACGTGTGAGCTGGAGGCTAAAAAACGGTGAGCTAGCTCACACACTAGCTCAGCTTAGAGGGAACGCTGGGTGTAAGCTGCCTGATGCCAGCCCAGACTCTCGGTCCATCCAGTTCAGCTGTTGTCTACTCAGGTCGGCAGGGGCTCTCCAGGGGCTCCGGCAGTCATCTCTCCCATCACCTGCCGCCTGGTCTCTCTTAACTGGTGGCACTGGAGAGGGATCCCGGGACCCTCAGTGTGCCAAGCGGGGGCTCTAGCGCTGAGCCCTGGCCCCTCCTCGAAAGCCGAGACGCCCAAAATCTTGCTGGCCTCTAAGGTGTTCCTGGATGCTGTTCCCCAAACACACGAATCTCTCTCTCACTGAACCAGGGTTTCCCCACATCATCTGCTGCGGCTTGGGCCTTTTGGCTGGGAATGTCGGGGATTGAACCTGGATGCTTCTGTACACAAAGCAGAGGCTCTGCCACTGAGCCACCGGCCCCTCCCTTTAAAACACAAACACTTGTGATGCTGCCTTCCACTGAGTATTGCCTACACAGACTGGCAGCCACTGTCCAGGGTCTCGAGCAGGAAAGGGTCTTTCACATCACCTTTAGCTGAAGATGCTGCCGGGGACTGAACCTGGGACCTTCTGCATGCCAAGCAGAGGCTCTGCCGCTGAGCCAACGCCCCCGCCCCGAAGGTGAATACACACAAAGCTGCCTTATTCCGAATCAGCCTCCCCCTCGGTCCATCAAAGTTCAGTCCTGCCTACTCAGACTGGCAGCCGCTCTCCAGGGTCTCAGGCGGAGGTCTTTCACATCACCTGCTACCTGATCCAAGATCGCGGGGATTGAACCTGGGATCTGGATGCCAAGGGGTTATCTGCCACTGACCCAGGGCTTGGCTCCCTTGCCCAGTGTGGTGGCCTCTTTGGGGCTGTGGCCTGCGTGACATGTTTCCCAGCTGTGGGGATGGAAGTCAGACCCTCGCTTGGGTGAGCGGGCAGGATGGTCTGCCGAAGGACCGCCGCCGGCGGCTCCAAAGCAGAGAGCAGGGGCTCTCTGGGGAGGGAGGAAGGGGGCAGCTCACAGGCAGAGGAGGCCGGGAAGCCTCTGCTCCTGGCGTTATGGGGGGTTAAAGGGAGAAACATCTGTAGCACAGAAAGAATGTGGAGCTTTGCAACTCCCCCAGGTTCTTCGCATGCTTGTGAAGAAGAAGAAGAGATTGGATTCTTACCCCGTGCCCGGAGTCTCAGAGTGGCTTACAAACTCCTCTCCCTTCCCCTCCCCACGACAGACACCCTGGGAGGTCGGCGGGGCTGAGAGAGCTCTGACAGAGACTGCTCTCTTTCAAGGACAGCTCTTGTCAGAACTACGGCTTGCCCAAGGCCAGCTGCACGTGGAGGAGGGGGGAATCGAACCCAGTTCTCTCAGATTAGAGTCCGCGCACTTCACCACTACCCCAAACTGGTGCCACTTGTGGGGAGGACCGAAACAGTGGGGTGGGGCCAGTCTGCCTCTCTGCTGCTCTGTGGAACCATGACTGCTGGCCTTGTGTTCAGCGGTACTTTTTTGTTCTCAAGAGCAGGGCCTGTGCTGTCCCCTGCTGGTCCGGCCTGGCCCGCTGCACTCCCTTCCTCCAGCCCCTGCTCCCCTGGGCATCAGTGCACACAAGGAGCTCAGTGTCCCACAGCCTCAAGGGCTGGCCTGTTCTCCGAACTGCCGCTTCCTGTTTAGCCAGGCAAGGACTTCAAGTTGGATCTCCGTCCCCTGCACGTCGCACCCCGTAGCCATGGAATCCATCCGCTTCAAACCCTGTGCGGAAGAGAGAAGATTCAATCCCGTGAACTTTGAAAGCGTGAGGGTTGTTGGATTGCTCATAAAATGTGTGTGGGGGGGAGAGAACTGGTAGGAGGCCATTCCTGTAGCAGCTGGGATGAAGACCTGGGACATTTCCTCACCCTGTAACTGATCCTTCTCGGGAGGTGGAATGTTTGTGAGCATTCTGTGGCGGCACTGCAAGTCAGCCAAGCGGCGGCGGGTGGGGTTTAGCCTCCCTCCTCTCCTCTCCCAGAGGTGGGAGTTGTTGTTCCATCGCAGGGGCTGCCGAAATGAGAGGAGCTGCCTGGGCTGCTGTTTGGGCCGGCCTCGCGCTCTGCGCCCTTCTGGGGCCTGTGCGGGGCGGGCGGCAAATGGATAAACTGGCGGACAAGAAGCTTTGCGCCGATCCTGAATGCAACCGTGAGTGACTCTTCTGTCTTGATTGCAGATACAATCATAGAATGATAGACTTGGAAGGGACCTCCACGGTCATCTAGTCCAACCCCCCCCACCCCCATCCTCCACATCCACTTCGGTAGTGAGAGCTCCAGTGGAATCAGACAAGGTCGGGGCGATTCCCCCCCCCCTTTCCATACACGCATACACTGAATTTGTCCCAAGCATTGGTAGTCAAGCATAGAGTGAATTTGGAGGTTGGTATCTTTTGTGATCCTGGCCATCACATCATCCTGTTGTGAGTCCCACACCTTGCTTTGTGTGTTGTGGGAAATCAGCAACGCTCCCCTTGCCCCGTACTGTTTGGAGAAGAGTCTTTGGCGCCCACGTCCTTTTCTCCCCCCTCCCTCCAATTCCAGACCCCATTTCCATCGCGGTGGCCCTGCAGGACTACATCGCCCCCGACTGCCGCTTCATCCACATCCAGAGGGGACAGGTGGTCTACGTCTTCTCGAAGCTGAAGGGCCGTGGCCGACTCTTCTGGGGAGGAAGCGTGAGTAGCCGCGGGGCCCTATTTGGTAGTTGGTGCGAAGACACGGCAAGCCGCAAGCAGATGCAAGGAGAGCCCCTGTTGGGAGCGGGGGGCTGGAGTTCTTGTCCAGAGCCAGTGTGGACCGTGGGGAATGCCCTCTGGCCGCAGAGTCCATGGTTCAAGTTCTGACTCCCCCTCTCCTCAATTGTACTTCTCTGTGAGTAGCCGCGGGGCCCTATTTGGAGCTGGAGTTCTTGTCCAGAGCCAGTGTGGACTGTGGGGAATACCTTATGGCCACAGAGTCCATGGTTCAAGTTTCGTTCAGGGCAATGTGGCTGCTTTGAACGGTACCCAGAAAGAAGCTGGGACCCAGGTTAGGCAGGATAAGGTCAGTAGGGTCCCCCCCCCATGGCCAGTGGGAATCTCTCCAAAGGGAGAAGAGGACATCCCAGGAACCCAATCTATAGAGCCAGTTTGAGACAAAGAGGAGTTCCTCGTGGGCTTGAGTCCTGTGCTCACCCATTGGCTCCCCCACGGGGGCCTTTTTGCCTGGGCTGAGAGGTGGCGGGAGGAGGGCCTGCTGGTGCTTCTTCTCACGGGGGGGGGAGCCGAGGGAAACACCCTGGCGGTGGGGAGCTGACTTGGTGCTCACAGGAACCCTCCTCCTCCTCCTCCTGCTGCTGCACAGGTGCAAGGTGACTATTACAGCGAGCAGCCGGCCCGCCTGGGCTATTTCCCCAGCTCCGTCGTCCAGGAGAGCCAGTACCTGAAGCCGGGCAAGACAGAGGTGAAAACGGATGTGAGTGTGGCCTCCCTCCCCACCCACCCCCCTTGGAAGGGGCTGGGCTAGGTCCAAACCACTGGCTGGGGGCACTGGAATCGAGACCCCCCCCCCAGAGGACACGGCATCCCTACCCGGTCCTTTCCATCCACCTAGCTGTGGGCTGGTCGGGGACTGTGGGCTTTGCCCAGCAACGAGCACATGCCACGGGGTGGGGGTGGGGGCTACATAAAGGTTTTGTAGCAGAGGCTGGCAGGGAGCTGCAAAGTCATCCCTCCACACACACACCATTCCAGACTTCTCGCCCCTGCTTTTTATTCATCTCTGTTTTCCTTTTTTTTCACGGGTGGCAGCAGAGATGTGCCTGGCCTCCGCTCTCCTTGGGATTGGGGGCGTCTTGGCTTGGAATCCAGGCTCTGGGTCGTCCCCGCCAAGTCTTGGCACGGCGCTGGCTTCCTTTGCTGCGGGGAGGGGGGTGGGTTAACGGGGCCCATTTACCAGGCCTTTCTTTCTTTTAGTGCTTCGGTCTCTTCTCCGCAAGCCCATCTGGAAATGCCTGTCAGTGACCCTGCTGGGAAGAAGTAATTGTGAGGGGGGGTTTGTCTTTATGTCTTCCAGAAATGGGACTTCTACTGCCTGTGACTCCAAGGGCCCAGGGCCTGCACCGGGGGGCCCCATCCTGCTTTAAAGCCCAGCCTCTTCCCCAGGCCGCTCTCAGCCAAGCAGGATTCCTCCTCCTCCAGTACTCACTCCTCCTGGCTGTGACCTTCTCCCTCCGCAGCCTGTAGGGGGTCTGCTTTGGTGCAATGCAAAACTCTCTCCTCCCCCCTCCCTTGCTACCAAAAAAATAAACATCTGTCTTAAAATCTGTGTGCGCATCTGTGACATCCTTGCTTATAGGGAAACCGGTTTTACCTTTAAACATATAAACTTGGTAGTTTTCTGCTGCCACCAGGAATTAAAGATTCCAGTTCTCTCTCTTTTGGTAGTATGACCCAGGGTCAGGGCACTTCAGAGGACTTTGTGGCCCACAGGAAGAACAGTACTAATTTCTGGGATAAGTTTAAACAAAAATTTATTTATTTAATAAAGAACAAAATAGGTTTCTGGTTTATTTATTTATTATCAAATTTATCCCCCGCCCTCCCTGCAAAGCAGGCTCAGGGCGGCTTCCAACAACAATACAAAGTAAAAGCATAAATAGTAATAAATAATAAAATAATAATCTTTCAATTTATTGATCGCTCAATCCTTGCAGAGCTGCCGGCTCTGAGCAATTTACAGTTGCTCATGTGTAGACACGGGACTAACAATGATGGGGGTAAGGGAGTACAGAATTAAAACACAACAATTAAAATAATGCATTACAAATGTTACAAGTACTGGCGGCAGATAAAATAAACAAATGAGATGGTTATTTTGAACAGCTGCTGAAGAAGAGAACTTGTAAATATAACTGGCAAAGCTCGGTGTTACAGTCTCTCAGCCTCCAAACTCCACAGGCTTATGCACTCAGTATACTCTCTCTCTCTCTCTCTCTTATATATAGCCACACAGGCTAGTCTCTTTGTCTTATTCACACTGAATAGAATCAACTCTCTCAGACTAAACTGTTGGTCTTATTCACACAGATTTAGACTCAAAATCCCATAGTCACACAGACGATGCTCACTCTTCAAACTTTACACACAGAATCCCTTCAAAACTCTTCCATACTTGTCTCTTCTCAAACACACACACAGAATCCCCTCAGAGACATCTCTCCTCCCACACTCTCAGTCATCAGCCAACCAATATACACTCATCTCCCTCTATCACTCCTTACATTACTGCAGTCAAACTAAACATTTAAAGGAACACACACACCAAAACATGAAATCGTCACGGCATCTATATTGACCTTTTGCCACACACTGAGTGAAGAGCTAGCGAAGAGAGGACAGGAGGCGGCAGTTCAAGGTGGCAGCTGCAGCCATGCGAGGGGGGGATCTGTGTCTCCCACCCGTGGGCAAAGTGGCGCTTTTGGGTCAGTGAATCTGAGTCTGAGAGATGGAAAGAGTCGCCTCCTCTCCCGTGTCCCAGGTGCTGCTTTTGCCTGCGGCTTTCCAGGCTCTGCTCACACGACGGAAAGTGGGTCGGACTCCTGGCTCCGGTGGAGCCCTTGCAGGACAGCCAGGGCGGAATGGGGGTGGGTGGG